AAAGACGTTTAAAACCGATTGTTTTTTGCCTTTCTTTTTCCAACGAAACAGAGCGACGTAAGCTGCTTGATCGGATTAGAATGCATCCTTTCTCGTTTCACGGAGGAAATGTCGAAAGAGCGAGCAATTTCATCCATTTAGATTCTTATCCAAAGTACAATTAACTCGCGAAGCAAGGAAATGGAGCTTATTATTGGGTACATCGGTTTCTTTGATCCGTTCCATCTCCCCGGAGTTCCTGGCAACACCTCCACGAGGGCTCTTAATCCCTTATTCACCACAGACCGCTTTTCAAGGATCTCCGCTGGTTTCCACAACGACTACGCTAAACCACTACATCTTCTTCGAGTCACGATCAACGTTCGTTTCCTTTTTACGCGGAACCATCGATTCCCCGGGTTAACCCTTTGTTTATCCTTCGAATAGAAAACGGAAACAGTTACGTCGACTCTCGCGTCGTTTAGCAATTTTATTTCCGAATTTTATTTAGCTAGCGTATAATTATTATGCTCCGCAAGAGTCACGGTCACGAGTCGACGTCGAGAAAGCGCTCGAAATCTCGTTCTCGTCACCAGTTGTCGTTGTTATCGGTACATATTCGAATCTCGTTAAGCAACTGCCGCGTTGAACATCGTTACAACAACGCACCTGACCTAAACTTCTACTCGGGAACACTGCTTTCCCGCGACGACAGCTAATTGCAAGACAATTTTCGCTCTCTGGCTTTCGTCGCTTCATTTCGAGAACACAAAGACTACGATGAGTCGCGAATCGATCTTCTATTACGCGTTCATAATTATTCTCTAAATACGGAAAGAGTTAAATAAATAATCTTTTTCCTACAGGTCTCGAAATCGTACGAATAGAGATTAAATTATGATACGCGAACGGAGAGCGAATTTCAGGGAATCGATGAATGGGACGCTTATGTTTGATTAATTAAAGAGGACACAACGGCTGTTGAATTATTTGTATTCCAGCTCGAGGTTAAATTTGCTTCTCCGAGCAGCTCGAGTTTCCTTACAAACGAACGAGCTGGTACCGACTCTGTTTAAGGAAAAATAGCAAATCGTATTATCCTAACTTACGGCAAACGATCGTCTGAAATATTTCTCTGTCAAATATTTCGACCTTTGAAAGGTCGAAGAAAACGGGATACACGTATATCATCGATTCGATATCGTTAGCGAGTAGCATTAAATATTTAACGCGTGTATATCGATCGTCTGAGGTCTCCATAATACAGGTATTACGTGTATAATTAATTGTATGGAATTAGTAATTTCGACGGCACTAGTTGTTACAAGCTACATCAATTATCTAGCCGGCACGATTATTAAACGATTCCCGCATCCACGGAGTAGTCGAAAGGAGTAATAATTCAATCTAGCGAAGCGTTTTAGCCACGCCAGAACCCGTGGAAAATCTCGCTCGACAATGGGTAGCCTACTTCCGTCTCGATGGCGAAGTAACAAAGTACCAGGCTACTTTACGCCATTTATGGTCTAAGCGTATATGCTTGCACAGGCTGAGATCATTAATCTAACGCGAGTGACATAATGCTAGACATAGACGTTCGTGTTGGCGAACCGTACACCGCATGTGGCAAGGTGCATGTAACGTCTTCGTTAAAACGTGTCAGACGGAGGCGACGTCAAAGGATTTTTGCATAAATTTCTGCGGTGCGCGAGTATGTTCTTAGAAATGTCGTGAGACATTCGTCTTTTTTCCCTCTTTCTCCAGAGAGGAGGAGGACTCCACCGAAACGCGCGAGCCTCGACAAAGTTTATCCTCTCGTACAACTTTGCAATTATCCTCGACCGGTGGAACGACGCTTCTTCCGGCGAGTATAATTTGGTTCTTTGCCAAGAAGTTCCAGGGAAGGTCGCGGGAACAGCGGAGGAACGGTAGAATTTTTGGTTGGAACGAAGCGAAAGCAGGCGTTAACCAACGACATGCAAACTCGATCCTCCGTTCCTGTTCCGTCGAGCCTTTTCGTCCTTTTACGAACGTACCAATCGTTCGGGTTCATGGAAACGGTGGTTTCGTTGCTACGGTCAAACGGAATTCCACTTTATTTTTGTTCGGAATTTCGTCCGATCATTCGTCGCTTTAGTAATCGATACGAGCTCGATTATCAAAGATATTTAGCCCCTCCGGTGAATTCGAGGTAAACGCGTTAGTCTGCGCGATAACGCGTATATTCGCTCGAAACGTTTCGAATAGTTTGTTCAATAAAATTTTCCACGAATTATCGCGAAATCGAAGAGGGTTGTTTTCGAGTCGATTGAAATTTACCGTTCGAATTTGATCGGTGCACGCAACGGCGCGGCGGGAAAAATTTCGCGAAAATAGAGGAACAGGAAGAGAAGAAAGTCTGTTTCGCGTGTTCCGTCGATTCGCATTGCGGTGCATCTCGCTTCTGACAGCCTTGTCAACCGCCTCTCTCGCGTCTCCGCGTATTCTCTCGTTCGATGCGATTCGAACAACGTCGGCCGACCTGCCTGCTTCATAGTCGTTATTCGCACATAGTTAATGAACTTAACGAAGTAACTTCGTTACGAGCGTTATGTTCGCGAAAGCGAGACAAACGAAGCCAAGGAAACGACAGAAGCAGCCCCTGTTTCGGTTCGGTTTGGTTCGGTTCGCCTAACGGGCATGAATTAATCATTAGGACGTTGTAAACAGTGCAGCCGGTTCAAACGTAGCTAGTTAGCGATGTGTTTACGCTTCTCGAACATCTATGCCTCTTCGTCTGGGCCAGTACCTCCATTAAGAAAATTCTGCTTCGCGCGTACTAATGGGCCGTCAATTATTCCTCGACTCGTCGTCTTTTGTTAACTCGAAGAAAACTTTAGACATTTTAGCGAGAAAAGTGGCTCTAGTACTCGGTGTTCAGGAACACGATCCCTGTTAGGTGGCTCCTCTGTTAAATAACGAATATCGCCTTTTCGGAATATCTGTTATTTTTGCTATTTAATCGTCGGTAATTGGTATATCGAAAATTGAAAGAATCAAACAGGTGTTTCGTAATCGCGAGAAAAACTAGCTTCGAACGACGGTTTACGCGAAAATAATTTGTTCGAAGCGGATAAACTCGGGCGGTCGATCTAACTCGATCGATAGTTAATCCTTCGGGCTGAGAAGCGACGTTTCCCGAAGTCTGTTCATAGATGAAAACGCGCGTCGAAGTTCGCTCGCGTTAATTATGATCGAACCTGCATTCAACGTCGAACTAATCGCAAACTGGACTGCCCTAAATAACGTTCCACGTTTTTTTCAGGTTAATGGAAAACGAACGATGATATTATCCGACGCGATCGGAATCATCGTGTACCCCGGTTGTTCTTCCTCAAACGTTATCGACGAAAAACGAAAGGTAAAATATAGAAATCTGAATTCGCGAACGCGGCATAAAGGAACGGTAAGGAACGAAAGTAAGCGATAACGAAAGAAAACGCGAAAAAGTACGATTTCCAAGCGCGATATCTCGAGCACGTAGACGGATTTTAATGTAATCGAAATTAAAACACCGCGTCCTCTGTACGCGATCCACAGGAAATTTCTTTCCAAGCACGCATTATGGCTCTTATAAAAACGTCCGTTTCTGTCTTTGATCACGACTTTAATTTCATCGCGCATATTTTTTAACACGCGGGTACTTTCTTTTCACAAAGCATTCCAATTAGTGTAATAATCTGAACGTTCGTAATTATACGAGGTAAAATCAACGCGACACAAGCCCTAGCTCCGCGGGAAAGACTTTGGTCCAATTATTTGCAACGTTGCTTATTAATTTCTGTCCTCGTCGCGACCGATATTTTCTGCGATTTTTCACTTTCGCGCGCTAACAAACGATTCTCGAGCGCCTTCGAACGACCAATCAAAATATTCCCTCGTTTAAACGCAATTTCTGTTTAAACAAATTTATTTCCTACGTACTTTACGCTATTAGAGATACACGAATTTTCGGCGTATACTTTCGAAAGATTGTTGGATCGTTGTGTATTTAAAATAAGCGGAATTATTGAAAATTGGACGAATCGACGAAACCCAATATGGATTCAACAAAAACACAAAAGATTAATTTGACCAATTAATTTATCGCGAAATTCTGGATGTAATACCGAATTAACGGTAGAGAATTAACGGTAGAGAAATATTGAATATTTAAACACGAGTACGAGTACGTTGTGACGTGCGAGAAGATCGATATTATTAGAGAAAATGAATTTTCCACGAACGCGTAATATCGTGGATGATAAACACGATTCGAATTTCTTTCATAAGAGAGCGATTTAATCAAGTGGGCAGAGGAGAGTATATCGATATACCTAACGGTGCGTTTACGTGATAAATGATAACGTTCTTTGGATGGTCGGTGCCCTGGCGAGACGGTTGCCCGTGATTTTACGAGGATCACCAATAACGTGTCCCTCTGGTGTAATATCGTTTCTTATGAGCCGTATTTTATCGGGAAACAATGGCAAGCACGTAGCTAAGTTGGTGTACTTAATGTCGATGTTCGAACCCCTTCGAACGCTCGATTGTTGCGAAGATTTAACGCTTCCGACATTTACTTTGGGAAATCTCTTTCGAGTGCGCCCGAAACAATTTCCCTTCTTTATTTTCTTCGTTCAAGTTTCAATAATCGTTGGTCCGTGATCGGAGGTCGACCATCGGTCCAATGATTTCATTTAATTACAATTAGGAACGAAACTTTTTTCCAAAGCATCAGCGTGTAATATCGAGAGCGGCGATTCTCGAGCGGCAGAATTCCAAGGAGAAAAGCCCTTATCGAAAGAGACGTCGTGGTCGCTGTTTTATTCGTTCGTGGTAAAAAATGATGGGACGAAAGGGAGCCGAAAGGTAGCCAGAATAGAGAGAGAAGAAGGTGAAAAGTAGCTGGCCTTTTCGTTCGTTCTGTTATCGCGCTCGGTTATTTGCGCGCGGTACCTTTCCGCTCGCGTCGAGGGGTTCAACTTTTCGAATGTACTTACAGGTACGAGCGTTCCTGATCCCAAGAAACTATCTCTGTTACGACCAAGTGGCCGGAAGTTAGCGGTTCGGTGTTCGGCTTGCCGGAAGACACGCCGGAGACCCGGACCACGTGCCTCCAGTGGCTGTCATCGTTTTGTCGTTGCGGCAAAATCGTCAGGAACGAGTCCCCGTCTTCGCTGAACAATGGTGCTTCGAATTGCTCCACCCAACCGCCTTTTTCCGAGTAAGACAGCGCCTGCAACCATGAATATTTCATTGGAACCTCTTCGCGTCATCCGCTGCCTTCGAAGCACGTAATCCGTCCGTGCTAAAAAATTACATCCCCCGTCCAATAATCCTTTTTTTCCGAGAACCTCCAAACTTTCTCGTCGACGGATCTCGCGGTGAAGTTACTCGGATTCGAATACTGTCCATTATTTTTTCGAGAAATGGACACGTAAAATCGACGACGAGCGAACAATAGTAACGTTACGATTCGAATGTTCGAAAGGGTCAGATAAAGAGAGTTCATTTTATGTTTCGGTAAAAGGTTCTCCGCTCGCGCTTCTATCATCGTTACCGTGAATCCTCCATTTTTGGAGGGTTACGTCGAGAATCGTGAAAAGTTAGGGTCGAAGAAAAGGGGGTTGTAAAAGGTTCCCGTTTCGCTCTTTCCGTAGAAATTCCAGTAAGAATAGATTCTCTATCTTGTTGCTGACTTTTGGTCGCAAGAGATTAAGTCGAAGTATCTTTTCTCGTTTGTTCGTTCGTTCGATTACGGATTGAAATTGCAGCAGACTTTCAGGGTTAGAAAGTAACAACCATTTTCGAGCGTCGACGCGAAGAACAAAAATAAACGGGAGAAACTCGGAAACGACGTAACGAGTTTTTATGGTTAGACACGAGCCGTTTCCGCTTTCCGACCACGCCGAACGCCGTGAACCAACAAATTCTTAACGACTCGGACTCCGATGATTAGAGAGGAGATGTTCCTTCTTTATCGGCGATAAAATTTGATACTTACGTTAGTGCAATTGGGTCCAGAATCGTGTATGTAACAATAACGGAAGTACGCTTTGTTCTGCACCCTGTTCATCCAAGTCGCGTACACGAGATCGTCCGTAGGAAACGCGACGGCTGATAAAATCCGTTCCGTGGAGGATAACTCGGCCGGGTATTCGATTTCGGTTAGGTTCGCGTTGTTCTGAACCACCTTCTCCAAGTCGACGTAAAACAACTTCACCGCGGGATTGGTCGTGCCGCTCTGAAACAGGAAACGGTTACGGTGAAACCCTCGATATCCGGTGTGGCCGATTCGATCGATGCCACTTACTCTAGATTAATAACAACAAACTGGTACCATCTCTTTTTACGGGTTTTTCTTATACATTTCTTTCTATATCCTTTGCCGTACTTTTACCGTTACTAGCTCGAGGGTGAACGTAAACAGTGGAAAATGGTAGATAGACGGAATCGAAGGAACCGGTGAAACTTCGATCGATCTATGTACCTTTCTCAAATTTTATATAACTACTATTTCATTCGATAAGTAGTCAGAAATAATGTGTATCGCGATTTATGGATTTTACACAAATTCGAGCAATAGAATTGTTGCGGTCTTGCTGGAAAAACTGAACGAAGAAAAGAAAAGGCATAGGATAAAAATAATAGACGTTCGATCGGATATTAAATTCTGATCTGATATAAAAAAAAAAAAAAAAAAAAA